CTAAGAGGTAATCTAAAAACCTATGAATCTACTATTCTTAACCCGTCTTTGAATGACCAAAGGAAAGGGATAGCATTAAAAGCCGTCAAAGAATCAACGATGGATGATTCAAGCGACGATGATGAAATCAAGCTTGTCATGAAGAAGTTTTGTAAACTTCTAAGGAAGAAAGAAAAGGTTGAGAATGGCCCTGTGTGCTATGGATGTGGTGAAGCCGGGCACATCAAGAACAAATGCCCGAAAAGCGGAAGGAATTCTCGGCACTTCAAAAGGCAAAGGGCATATATCTCTTGGGGTGGCGACTCCGGCGACGAGTCAACCGATCAAGACGAGGATGAAACTGCCAACCTCTGTCTCATGGCGCACGAAGACCAAACCGACGATGTACAAGAGGTATGTACCATTTCTTCCGACTCTTACACCTTTGAAGAAATGCAAGAAGCACTTCATGAACTTTATGACGAATTTGTTAGCGCTTCTAAAATCAACAAATCGTTAAAGAAACGCCTCTCCACTCTTGAAAATGATTTTGAAAATCTGGAAAAAGATAATGAGAAGTTAAAACAAGAGAATAAATTTTATGGCAAAAGAAGCGCCGACAAACCAGAAAGTTCCTCAAACAAATGTGAATCTTGCAAAGCTTTAGAGGAACAAGTCACCAAACTTGAGAGTACGGTCAAGAAATTTAATACTCCACACAAAGATTTAAATTTGCTCCTTGACACCATGCATTTTTCTAAGGAAGGAATAGGTTTCAATAAAAATGATGCTAAGGTTAAAGAGAACGTTGAGCCACCACCTAGACAACCATCTAAGGTTCAACGTAAGAAGCCTAAAAATCAGGAAAATAGAAAACCTAGTCAACCTAAGGACACTAGACAACCTAGACTAAAACCTAGGAAAGAAAATGTTCATGGTAGACAACCTAAGAAAAATAATTTTGTGCATAATAATAATTTTTCTCAAAATAGGAGAAATAACATGAGGACACCTAGAAATGATTCTTTTGAAAACGTGCATAAACCATCCTTTTCTCAAAATAGGATGAAAATGGTTAGACCCCCTAGCTATTATCAACCTAGGAATATGTTCAACCCAAACGTAGTATGCCATTATTGCAATAGGGTAGGACATATAGCTCCCGTGTGTTTTACCAGACATAGGCACTCCACCTACAATGAAACACACAACATATTTGATGCTAACGAAAAGAAATCCTTTGGAAAAGGATACTCAAATCATAAAGAATCTCCACAGGACAATGCACAAAAGAAACCTTATTATTTCTTCTACTTTGACGAAAAGAAGAAAGTCCACATCCCGTTACCGGAACCAACACAGACCACACAGAGATATCGGCACTCCGTTCAGGTAGACTGGAACCCGCCAACCACGAGACGACAGGTTGGCCAAGGTAACTCTTAAGCGATCATCTAATCGTGCGTGTGTGTGTGTGTGCGCGCGTGTAAGGAAACAAATTTTGGGTGTGTGCGTGGGCAATAAAAGGTTAACTAACCCCCAAGGACCCATAGACATACTTTGGGTACCAAAGTGTTGTTTTTTTAGGTACCCCGTTCATGAAATCAGGGGGAACCATGCAAACAGCGCTGTCCAGGAGACACAACAGCGCTGTTGCGGGAAACACCGTCAACCAGAAAGTTTTCCAACAGCGCTGTCCATCA